GCCTTATCATCATTACGATAAGATGTACCTTTTTCCAGGGTCTTTCCAAATGTTGAGAATTTCCATGTTTCAATCACCATCGCTGCCATTTCTTTCTGACGTAAAATGACCGCGCGGAGACACTCTTAGCGAACAACCACTCAGCGGAGGTATTGTTGTTAGTCTACATAACCTCTGAGTCCCTTTGTTTCGCGCATTGAGTGAGAGCTGTGAGACACGTCACCCCAAGATCACTCAATAACGGCAAAAAATTCTTTATTTCCTAATTTGGACTCTTGGCAACTACACCATATTCTTGAGCTCAGCTTGGAACATAGAATAATTTTTCGGGATCACCAAACATTTCATTTTGTAGCTCACATTCACTGATGGCCAAGTTCCCAACTTTCTGGAGGAGCTGGCTGCATACCTGGAAGGGCACTTGGCCCAGTCAAACGATGCAAGTAGAATTTATTCATATCCATTTTAATAAATATGGATAAAATATGGCTAATAAATCATTATTTTCACAGCAATTTCTCAAACAGAGAAATCTCACACGTCACATTTTGAAACTCACAAATGGCGTGAATTTAGACTAAATCTTTTTAATCTCACCTGACTTTAGGTCATCCAGCAGATGGATCTCCTTGTGAGATGGTTAGTATCTTGAGGATTCATTTTATGCTCTTCAAAGAAAAAAAATTGAAGTTCATTGATCTAGTGGTCATTTCCGGAACTGTCAACTGTCAACAGGGACTCTATGGTGATGTTGGCACTCCAGTTTGTGGCCTTTCAGCCAGCCATCCAGGAAATTCTGGAGAACTATGATACAGATAAATGACTATTTTGTGTTAAGTATTCGTTAAAAACGTATTTCATGCAAAATGAATGATAATGCGATCCCATCGATCTGCGTCACTCTCCAGGGTCTCTAATTGAGCCCGAAGTTGCGGCATGATGTTAGTAATATTTCACTTAGGTCTAATTTCTGACCAATATGCCTGCAACATCAGAAAAATTTATTCGGAGATAAGCAATTGGACTGTTAAAAATTAAAACCGATGTCTTTTTTTCCGTAGGTTCACAGTCATTGTGAATAATCATGGGAGCTGCGACTACAATGATATTTTTGTAAAAATTGAATAAATTTGTTATCTGGAAAAGCTTTCTCAACTAATCAATAAGTAACTGTGTAGCTATGAATGAATACCACTGTTGCTCATAAACTTTTATTCCATTTGGTGGCTTCTAAAGAAGCCGTTTTCATAAAAGCAGGATGCCAGCAAAATAACTCTTTGTAAACTTGATTTGAACTTTTTCTACCAGGTGGGGGGCTGTTTTGCAGCCTTGTTTATCTATGAAGGAAAGCGACTTGCCAAGAAGCAGCTTCATGCGACATCCACCACCTGTTATTGTTAAACACTTATTCAGATAAGGACCAAGGCCCGCTGCTATCAGTTCCTCTTCACTGGCGAGATACGGAGACCCACGGAGGTCTGACAGTAAACCAGGGAAAAGCGCTCAAACTACATCGTGCCTCACCATGATAGTTTTGTTGCATGCCAGAGGCAATTTTTAACCCTTCTCAAATAAAAGAGCTAGTCTCCCTCAGCATTCATCAGTGCAAAATGGATCAACACATCTGTTCTCGAAGGCAGTGATGAGTTATTTGGGCAAATTTTTGGCTGGTTCCCACGTGTTTTCAGTAGGGGAGTGGCTCTGCCATTGGATAAAGTACTCTGTTCTGCCTCCTTGAACTCGTTTTGCTACAATACGATCAACTTCATAAACACCCATAACAGTAGGTTTTACCTTCGGTCGGTATTTCGAATTAAAGCCACAATGGCAGACATCATTCAATAATGTTGCGTAAAAGCCTGGCTGATGTCTCGCACACTTCGACATGTTGTTGCAAATAAGTTTTAGCAACTGTACTATTTATATGTTTTGATTAGTCAAAACGGATCCAAATATGAATAATTACGTAACTGTTCCCTCGGCCGTCAACCTGTTCGAGGTGGCCATTTGTTAGTTAGACTCGGTGGAGTCAAAGAGCGCAAGTGTGAAGTACAAGGGAGTGATATGCTTTACAATCAATACGGATAAATTTCCATGGCCCGCAGGTGGCCGTATTAAGGGAGTTCCACCGTAGGCTCTTTTGCAATCGTTGTTGTTGTTGTTGTTGTTTTTGTTGTTTTTTTTTTCATTACGTAACTCTTCTTTTTGATGGATAAACAAGGAATAAAAGCCCTGTACAACCATCAAAATTTTTCAGTCGCGTATGACAACGCAAGTGTCAAGTAAAAGCAAGTGACCCACGCATCACGCTCACTAAAAAACTGAGGTTAGACCATTTATTCGCGCTACTTATTCTCTTTAATACGGGGGCGCACCAACACCACATTTAAGACAAAGATTAAATGAAACTAAAATTTCACTTAACCATAAGTTAGCTGGCTTTCAGAGCAGCACTTTTTATAACCTTCGATCAGGCCTTTTTTTGTTTTCAGTTCACAACCGCCTGATCACAAGTTACACTTTTTAAACCGCCTATTCTTTATGATACTACTTTCCTAATTTTCTATTTTCTATTTTCACGATACTAATTTCTATAATTCCGATAACATTTTGACCAACATGAGTCTGTCAGTCTATTTAAGAATTCCTTGCAAACAAATTTGCTAAATGCTTCGTTAAGAGCGTGGCTATTGTTAATTACTCCTATTGTTCACTTTATGTCACCTTGGGATTTACTTACGCATCCAACTGTTTGATTGACAGCAGCTGAAATCTGCCAAGAGACTCTTGTATTCTCAAAGCTTTATCTGCTGACCAATCACAACCGAATAGTTCAAGATATGCAAATTATTATGCTGCCCGCTGTTTATGTCGCGAAAGACAATGGCAAGCAATTTGAGTAACATGTCATGTCAGGGAACATGGGCTGATGCATTTATAATTCAAGCAGTGACCGACTGTCTCAACTTATCAATTCATATTGCTGAATCAAATGAAACTTTTAATCCTGTGACTATTGTTCAACCAACGAATGTGACAAGTGGATGCACAAAAATTTACATTGCACATATACATGAAACTCACGACATGTCTACAGTAGAAAATAGTAGTTCTGATTTACCCAAGTCAAAAAGAAGAGGTCAAGGTCAGACTTTAATTGAAGACAAACTAATCGACGAAAAGGAACGCAGAGCGTGCAAAAAAAAAAAAACATGAAAAAGAAAACAGGTGATGCAGAATATAGAAAAAACGAGAACATTTATTCTATGCAAAGATACAACATTGAAAAAATTAAGGAGAAAAAGAAAAAAGCTGTCACTAAAAGAAAAATGACAAGCTTTGAACAAGTAAGAGAAATTGACAAACAGTCTAAGAGAAAACACAAAGTATAGAATCCAGAACACATAAAAGAAATTGCTAAAAGATCTCTCATGAAACGGAAAGCAGAGAATCCAGAATATAGAAAAAAAATCAATAACCAGAGTTTCAAGAAAAGAAAAGTAAAAAACTCAGAACCCATGAGCCAAATAAAGAGAAACTATGTTAAAGTTAAGAAAACAGTTATGAGTGTTCATCGAATTGCACAATGTGCTAAAATGCAATATCAAAATGCACAAACTATATCACGACCAACAACTGATAGTTATGACTTACAAGCTCAGAAAAATGAGCACAATGTAATTTCTATGATCAATTTGTTTCACAATCACATTAAATGTGGCCCGGAATATATCTGTGACCAGTTGTGGTACAAGTCCTCAGTAGTGAAATGTGATGTCACCAAGTACAAAGTATGTTCTCAAGATCTTTTAAAGTCTTGTGTGGTTGAAAAGTGTAGATAATACTGAATAGATTTGCACAACTTGTGACTTAAATCTAAACAAAGGGAAGTTACCTAGCTGCTCTTAAGCCAATAAAATGAGTTTTCCTATGAAGCTTGAATTGTTAAATTTGACACCATTAGAAGAACGACTAGTATCACCTCACATCCCTTTTATGCACATCCGTAAACTACCAAGAGGGGGCCAGTTGACTATTGATGGCAACATTGTTAATATACCAAGTGATGTAAATTCAACTGTGCACTGCCTGCCAAGGCTCACGAATGAATCACAGACAATTCCAATTAAACTTGAAAGACATCTCAGCTATAAGCACCATTATCAGTTTCAGAATGTAAGACCAAAGAAAGTGCTAGATGCAGTCAAATACCTCGTAGGCACAAGTGATTTATTAAAAAACATCAAGGCATAGAGGTGCAAAATTCATGGCTAGATGACATAAGTTTACAATGAAGTGGCCATGAAGATTGGACTGAGTTTGTTCAAAAACATGTAACATCATTAAGTGCTAATTTACATGCTGAAACTGTTACAAAAGACAAAACACAGGATTTGCAAGACAGTATTTCGACTGCCGATGTTGATAATGAAGGGAGTATAGAAGATGATAGTGGTGGCTGGTGTGAAGTCGATGAATGCCCTTCAGGCTCTACAGATACTCTGTTGTAGGAGCCAGATGTAGGAGAAAATGCAAACAGAGTTTAGGTATATTTATGGATAAATAAAGAGAAATTATCGAA